GAGATATGGACGATTTTATATTAATTAACTTTTACAAAATATGCTTCTATGAAAAAATTTTAAGTTTTTTTATAGAAAAGTCTTTTGTATAAGCAAATTAATAAAAAGTTGTCCAAATTTCATCAAACTTTCAGAATATGTAGTTTAAGTCATAAACAATTTTACTTAGTTCATAAATATCAATTTACTTAGTATTGTAAGACACTTACCCTATTATCAATGTTGCACTTCACAAAGTTTCTTTTAGATTGTTTTTATATAGCACTTAATCAATGATATCTCATGATTCTGTGATCAGAATTAAGTGATCTTTGTACCATTCAATTCGTCTCGATGAGATGAATCAAATGGTGTAAAAATTATCTGATTCTGATCATTGTATTACGAGATATTTCCAATTTGTCAAAATACTCCTACTCTCTTTAAAATTTGACTTTATTATATATTGTATAAACCTGGTTGCAATCATCCAAAACAATTTACTATATTATTATTTTTTATATTAAACTCATTTAATATTATATGTAAATTTTAACTGTGCAAATAAAAAATCTTTTTTATTGAAAATAAAAAAGTTTCTATATTAGCTACTTTAACTTCATCAAAATACCCGTTTAATATGTAATTTATTAAAATAGGTATTATTTTAAGTATTAATAAAGTTTTCTTTATGGTATAATTTGGTTATTTTTTAACTATTTTATAATGTCCTGAAGGTTCAAATTTTTTTAATTTCTCAAATTGTTTTTTATATCCTATATAGTTATAGCTATATTTAAAAAATTGTAAAAAATTGCAGTACTTTATGTTTTGCAGAAACAGAATCTCTTTGACATCTTTTAAAAAAAGCTAAGAATTATTAATTTTTTTTGTAAAATATCATAAATTTTTAATATTAATTTATTTATTGTATATTATTTTTATAAAGTTTGATTGATTTTGTTATTATTTATTAAAATATGTATTATTTTTGTATAAATAATTTGATTTATCTTTATTTTTACTACTTATTTACCTATCTTCTAAATTTTCTATAATTTTTTGAAATATTTTTAATTTTCTTAAATATTTCAATAATTATTAGTTTTTATATATATATATATTAATTTTTTTATTTTTTATTTATTTTTTAGGTTTTGTCAATTAACAAGTAGTTTTTTTTAGCTTTTTGCATTAAACTTTGATGTTTTTCATATATTTTTTTTCTCTTCAATATTCTTTGACTTGTTGGTTATATGAATTTTTAATTTGCTTTAAAAATTAAATATTATATAATTACTTAGAATATATTTGTATACAATTTTTTAAATAAATATGAGAACTACTAAACTATTATAGCTTTTTTTTTTTTTTTTAGCTCTTTGACAGTCTTGCTGGAGCTCAAATACAATACTTTATTAAACAACCTCGGATGAAATGAATAATAACAGTATAAAAAATTGCAAGCCTGACATTACCTGGCTGCATCTAGTGTGCCTAAGAGCAATATGTCACACCAATCTACATGTAAGTTAGAAGACCTTGTCAGCCCGCCAAAAGCCTATCTCTTCATTCTTACTTTCTTCACCGAAAGCAAAAGAAAATAATGTTCCATATTCTCAATACTAGAATGTACATTAAGAAGAAAAGGAGTTTATATACAAAAAAGATACAAAACAAGAAAGGAAAAATAATAAGGAATAAAAATGGGAAAAATGAAAAATATAAAAAAAGAAAAAAACAAAAAGATAAGCCCTGACAGGCTAAACAAGAAAAGCTATCTCCCGTGAGAAATAGCAGCTACCTCTATCAAGAAGTAGCACAAAAATAAACAAAAAGTGCACTATTATAACCCATGCTAGGCAAGTATAAAAATTATATAACAAATACAACATTTGCATATCTCTACTATAAAGCTTCGCCTTAACGTTATTGTTTCTTTCCAACTATACAACTGACTCCAGAATATTTGGACCTAAAACTCAGGACTTGTTCATATTAGTAGCATCATATCTGTCAAACACATGGTTGTAATCTACTCGGCTTTCTAGATTTGGGATGTAAACAATATCGATCTTTTGGAGGGGGTAAGCCAAATCTTTACTTTTTGAAAAAAAATTTGAAAAACCGATGAATGCAGAAATGAGAGGAGAGAGTTGCAAGAACTTTCAAAACTTTTTAAACAAGTGTGTTGAAAGAGCAAAGCTTCTTGTTGTTTCTCTTGTGTTTTTTATTGAAGTAATGATCTAATAGCTTTGTCGACGGAGTTGGGCTACCCTACCTATACTCCACCAAGATTTTTTATACAAGGGCACTCTCTGCCAGTTATCTTGTATAATAATGCTCCTAGCTTGCATGCCGAATGTCCTTATTTAGAGGAGTTCCCGAGAGTAGTAGTTGACCTCTAGACAAACCACTATATAGTCCACAACTTTTTAACAAGTAGTTCTGGTTTTTTTTAGTGGAAAATTTTGGTTCAGGTGATTGTCGGGAAGAGTTGCATAACTTGTTATTGCTATTATAGCTTTTTGTATATTTATAAAAACAATAAAATTATTACATTTTTAGTAAATTTATTTTAAAAATTTTATATTATTTATTTTTTCGATTTATAATTTACTTGCTTCTTTTCAATGGTTTGTTATATGTAATATCTTATTGATTTATGCAAATTTTTACAAGTTTTCACTTGAGTTTGATTTTTGTTGTTCGTAAATATTCATAGTTTTACACATGTTTTTGCTAGCTTTTAACTATTTATATTTGCTATATTTAAATTTACTATGCTATAAATGTTCATAATTATTACATCTATGTAATATTCCAAAGTTGCTATAGTGTAAACTTTTATAATTATTACACCTATATAATACTCTGAACTACAGTAATTGTAAGTTTTTGTAAGTTTACTCTTATATAAAAACTTATGAAGGTTTATATATATATTTTTTTGCCAATAAATTAATTATTCAGTTAGATATAATAATAATAAAAGAGTTATTTTTTATACCCCAAATTTATTATTTATACTCCCTGCAGATTAAAAAATTTTTTAAACTTTGAGTAAAGGTATCTTAGCAATTACTAGACCAATTTTTTGATAAACTTTTATTTGAAATCTATAGATACATAGAATTAAAACAAAAATAAAAGTTTATTGAATTTGACTTGGCAGTTGCTAAAATATCTTCATTCAAAGTTTTAAAAAACTTCAAAGATATCTTAGCAACCACTAGGCTAAACTTTTTTTATTTGAATTCTATGGATCCATAGAATTGAAATAAAGAAAAGTTTATCAGATTTTGACTTTGTGGTTGATAAGATATCTTCATTAAAAAACTTAACATCTATCAATTCAAAAGCTGCATCAAAATTTTTCTAAACTTTGAGCAAGGATATCTCAATAAACCTTTTTTATTTGAATTATATAGATACATAGAATTCAAATAAAAAAATTCATCGAATTTGGCCTAGTAGTAGCTGAGACATCTTCACTCAAAAGTTTAGAAAAAATTTTGATGCAGCTTTTGTATTGATAGATGTTTAAATTTTTTAAAACTTTGAATAAAGATATCTCAGCAACTACCAAGTCAATATCCAATGAATTATTTTTTACTTTTATACTAAGGATTCACAGAATTCAAATAAAAAAGTTCATCGAATTTGACTTGGTGGTTGCTAAGATATCTTCGCTCAAAGTTTAAACAAATTTTGGCGCAATTTGTTTTGGTAGATGTTTTAAATTTTTTTTAAAACTTTAACCGAAATTATCTCAGCAACCACAAAGTCAACTTTTTTTTATTTCAATTTTAAGAATCCATAGAATTCAAATAAAAAAACGTTTATCGAATTTAGCCTGTGGTTGAGTTATCTTCGCTCAAAGTTTAAAGAAATTTTAGCACAATTTATTTTGATAGGTATTTTGATTTTTTAAAACTTTGAGGGAAGATATCTCAGCAACCACCAAGTCAAATTCGATGAACTTTTTTTGTTTCAATTCTATGAATCCATAGATTTCAAAAAAAAAAAAAAAATTCATCAAATTTGGCCTAGTAGTTGTTGAGATATCGCTCAAAGTTTTAAAAAAATTTTAATCTGCAGGAAAATAATAAATTTGGGGGTATAAAAATAATCCCCTAATAATATTAAAGAATAATAACAATAATAAATATTAAAGATATGACATCACGGGTAATTGCAGCACAGGGCAATTATATATATTTTTTAAATGTGATTTTGTTTTAATCGGTTATTTGTTAATGCTAGTGAAAATTGTCACATAATTTGGCCAGCTTTAATACCTATAATGTAATAGCTTACCGTAATTTACTATGTAAGGCAGTGTTGTCACTAGAAGCCCACTGGAAGCCACTGGAACGTTTACATCATTGGAAGGCCACTAGAAGAAAAATTAGCAACACTGATGTAAAGTATGTTGTCAGGTAAGTTTTAACAACCCTACCCGAACAATTTTCACTTAATAGGCTGCTATGATTTCATCGAGTAATTCCGGCCTGATTTTTTGATCATTGTTTTAGCCAAAAAAAAACAATTACTGCGGCTGCGCCATAAATTACATCACAACACTTAGCAGCCGCTCTGGATAATTCGAAATCTTCAGCCCTGACCAGAGTACAAGAGTACAGTCCAAATTTTTTTTGAAAATGGCTATGCAAATCATGAAAATCATTTTGGATAACAAAAAGAAAAAAAAACGGCAATCTAAACCTATCTCGGTGCTTCAAAAAAAAAATGTTGGGGACGCAATTTTACATATAGCAGCAGTTTTAACCCTAATCAAAAACACCCTAACCTTATAATAAATAAATAATTCTGTCATCCGGAAATTTTTCGATCTTCAAATTGATGGCTATACATCATCATGTGACATTGAACTCGAAATTTATATAACATGTAGTGTTACAATCGTGTTTATAATTCGCATCTTCAAAGAGTCAGACGTAAAAAAAAAAAATCAAGTTTCCCATTATTGTAACGAAATTACTCATAATCGAAAGAACATGCTCCCAGCCAGACAAAACAAGATTGACCTAGACGTAAGTCAAGTTACAAACAGTAAAATAGAAGATACAGTTTTTTGACTAAGCAGTTAAAGGGGAATCGTGGGAAAAAGCAGAACTAGAATCATAATATTTTTTTTTTTTTACAGAAATTAACGGAGGAAGAAAAAAAAATTTTCCGTATGTATGGCAGGTTGCCAACGGGAAAAGACATTTTGAGCCATAAATTGAAGGTACTGCTATTTGAGCCAGCTGCAAAATTTTTATAAATTTTATCAGAAAATCGTTATGTCTCCATAAGTCGAAATATCGAAGTTATTGTCCATTAATTTGTTTAATTTGACAATTTAAGGCTTATTTATTTAATCTTTGATGATAGACGTTTTCGAATTCAATAATAAGATTTCTTAATATTACAATAGGAACGAAAATACTTTGACTCTGGTGATTATGCACTTACAAAAGCTGGCAAAACTCAAGGGCCTGTTGGTGTTCAACACCCATCTCCTGATAATATTCCTCATGCAACTGCTATCGCTGCAACTACTCATAATTCTTCACCTGTGAAGGAGAGTTCCTTAGTACATGAAGCAGAACTGAATGATGAAAAAACTGTGGATTCTGATGTACAACCAGCTGATCTAAATACTACATCTACTCCTTCTACGTCTATTCCCGACACTTCTAATCCTACACCTACACCTTCACCAAATACTTCTTCGAATGCCGATATAGAAAAATCATGACCCGGGTAACCCGGCGGGTAAACCCGCGGGTCACCCGGGTGGGTCTACCCGGATCGCCGGGTAAACAATTGGGTAGCAAGAAGTGCTTTCCCAACTCCGAATTAAATTATACTAGCACACAAATAATTTTGTAAGTTCCATAAAATAAAAACCAATTCTAAAATTTTATCTTTCTTTTATAATTACAGTGGGGTGACATATTATTATGGACATTTTTTAAAAATTTATACAAAGTCAAATATGTAAGATATTGAGCTAACATTTAAATAATATATTCATTAAATCTATATATTTTAAATAAAAAAAGTTTAAAAAATTTTATGCTGTTTTTTTTAAAATAAGTAAATTTAAATTTTTATATTAGTATAATTTTTAAATTTTACTGTTTTTATAGTAATTAAAATTACTAAATATAGTAATATATAGCCTTAATTTTTATAAAGTAAATTAGCAAGTTTTTTTAAATAGTTATTTGGCATAACAAATTGAAAATTTTATAATTTTTGAAAAATATTTTTAAATTTCTATATATAGGGAAAGTCAATAGAAGAGATAAATTTTTTTTAAACAAAAGTTTTCTTGATTTTAAATTTAAAAAAAAATTAGCAAATTTGATTAAATAGTTATTAAAATATTTTAATTTAAAAATTAAAAAAATACGTAGAAGAACCAATTAATGATGGTTAAACTCAACGTACAGAGCAGACTCTGGTCTCTTGCACAGCCGTGAAAGCCGGGTATACGATGAGCGACTCTATAGAAGGAACTCAAAAAGTTTTAGCTCCCAACCCATCAAATCTTGCTAAGACCTTCTCTCCAAGCACATTCTTTACAACATCCAAAAAAGTTACTATTTCATCTATTTTTATAAACACCCCTACACCCAAATTCAAACCTTCCAAAAACCATTCTCCTGAAGACTCAGACAATGAC